CAAATTAAAACAGAAATACAATATACAAAAACATATGGGATACAGCAAAAGCAATACTAAGAAAGAAGTTTATAGCAAGAAATGCCTACATCAAAAAAGCAGAAAGATTTCAAATAAACAATCTAACATTGCACTTCAAAAAATTAGGAAAAAAAGAAATTGGAAAAGCAAAAATAAACTCAAAATTAGTGAAAGAAAAGAAATAATAAAGATCAGAGAAGAACTAAATGAAAGGGACAAAAAAAGAAAAAAAACAACCTACAGAAGACAAACAAAATGAAAAGTTGGTTTTCTGAAGGGTAAACAAACTATTGGCTAGACTAAGAACAGAGATTACCCAAATAAAGTCAGACATAAAAAGGAAACTTTGCAGCTGATACCACAATAATGGAAAGGAATATAAGAGACTATTCTGAACAACTATAAGCCAACAAATTAGAAAACCTAGAGAAAATGGATAAATTCCTGGACTCATATAATGTATCAAGATTGACTCAAGGAGAAATAAAAAAAAAACTGAACAGATCACTATCTAGTAATGAGATTGAATCAGTAATAAAAATGATCCCAACACAGAAAAGTCCGGGACCAGATGACTTCATTGTTGGCTTCATTGCTGAATTCTACCAAACTTTTAAAGAATAACTTATACCAATTATTCTCAAACTATCTGAAAAAATAGTACAGGAGGAAATTCTTCCAAACTCACTCTATGAGGCCAACAGTACGGTACTACTAAAATCCAACAAGAACAAAACTAAAGAAGAAACTACAGACCAAAAAATATCCCTCATGAACATGGATGCAAAACTTCTCAGAAAATGAAGTCTAACAATACATGAAAAACATTGTATACCATTATCAAAAGAGATTTATCCCAGAGTTGCAAGGATGGTTCAACATATGCAAATCAATAAATGTGATACATGAACAGAATGAAGACAAAAACCATATAAACATCTCAATAGATACACAAAAAAAAGCCACTTAATAAAATTCAACATCCCTTCATGATAAAAACTCTCAACAAAGTAGGTATAGAAAGCAATACACCTCAACACAATAGAGGCCAGATATGACAAACCCACAGCTAACATTATATTGAATGGAGAAAAGTGGAAAGCTTTTTCCCAAAAAACTGGAACAAGACAAGGATGAGCATTTTCACAACTCCTATTTAACATACTAGAAGTGCTAGCCAGAGAAATTAGATAAGATAAAGAAATAAAGGGCATTCAAATTGAAAACGAGAAAGTCAAATTGTTCCTGTTTGCAGACAACATGTTCTTATATATAGAAAAACCTAAAGACTCCACAACAAAACTCTTAGAACTGATTAACAACTTCAGAAGTTGCGGTATACAAAATCAACATACAAAAATCAGTAGTGTTTCTACATGCCAATAACAAACTATCTGAAAAAAATCAAGAATGCAATCCCCTTTATAATAGCTACAAAAATACTAAGAAAGAAAGTTAACCAAGGAAGTGAAAGATCTCTACAATGAAAACTACAAAACACTGATGAAAGAAACTGAAGAGAACACAAAAAATGGAAAGACATCACATTTTCATAGATAAGAAAAATTAATATTGTCAAAATGACTATACTACCCAAAGCAACCTACAGATTCAGTGGAATCCCTGTCAAAATACCCATGACATGCTTCACAAAAATAGAAAAAAAAGTCCAAAATTTGTATGGAACCATAAAATACCCCAAATAGCCAAAGCATTTGTGAACAAAAAGAACAAAGCTGAAGGCATCAAACTGACTGACTTCAAATTATACTACAAAGCTGTAATAACCAAATCAGCATTGTACTGGTATAAAAACAGACATATAGCCCAATTATTTGATTGGAGAATTATTTGAATGGAGAATTCAGAAATAAGTCAAGTGATTTTTGACAAAGGCAGTAAGAATACACACTGGGGAAAGGATAGCCTCTTCAATAAATAGGGTTGGGAAAACTGGATATCCATACTCAGAAAAATGAAACTAGAACCCTATCTCTCACCATGTACAAAATCAACTCAAAATGGATTAAACGCTTAAATATAAGACCCCAAACCATAAAACTACTAGAAGAAAACACAGGGGAAATACTTCAGGACATTGGTCTAGGCAAATATTTTTATGGCTAAGGCTTACAAGCAACAAAAGAAAAAAACAGACAGATGGAATTATATCAAACTAAAAATCTTATGTAGAGCAAAGGAAACAATTCATCTGACAGGGAACTGATATCCAGAATATGCAAGGAACTCAAACCACTCAACAGCAATAAAAGAAATATTTTTATTTAAAAATGGGCAAATGATCTGAATAGACATTTCATGAAAGCAGACACACAAATGACCAAGTGGTATATAAAAATGCTTAATGTCATTTATCATTAGGGAAATGCAAACTAAAACCACAAAGAGATATCATCTCACCCCAGTTAGAATGGTTATTATCAAAAAGACAAAAATTAAGAAATGCTGGCAATGATTTGGAGAAAAAGGAGCTCTTATACAATATTGATGAGAATGTAAATTGGTACCATCATTATAGTAATTAGTATGGAGAGTCTTTAAAAAACCAAAAACAGGACTACCATATGATTCAGCATTCACATTACTGGGTATATGTCCAAAGGAAAGGAAATCAGTATGTCAAAGAGATATCTGTACTCCCATGTTTATTGCAGCATTATTCACAGTAGCTAAGATATGAAAATTAACCTATATGTCTATCAACAGATTAATGGATAAAGAAAACATATATATATATATATATATATGAATATTATTCAGCTCTAAAAAAGAATGAAATCTTGTCATTTGCTGCAACATGAATGAACCTGGAAGACATTATGTTAAGTAAAATACGTCAGGCCCAGAAAGATAAATACTGCATGTTTGCATTCACAAGTGGGAACTAAAAACTTTGAGCTCATAGAGAGTAGAACTGTGGTTACTGGAGGCTGAGAAGGGGAGGGGTGAGTGAGAGAGGGATTTTGAAGAGACTGGTTAATAGATATAAAATTACAGCTACATGAGATAAGTAAGTTCTGGTATTCTATAGTGCTATAGGATGGCTATAGTTAACAATAATTTATTATATAATTTCTAATAGCTAGAAGAGAAGATTTCGAATGTTCCCAGAACAAAGAAGTGATAAATGTTTAAAGTGAAGAATATGCTAATTACCCTGATTCGATCATTACCCACTGTATACATGTATCAAAATATCACTCTGTATCCCATAAATATGTACAATTATTATGTGTCAATTTTTAAAAGTTGAAAACAATACTGAAGGAAACAAATAACTCTGCTTACTTCTCTAAGTATGTATATATTTCTTTCCTCCTAAGTTGTTTACAAAAAGATATCAAGTATTTATAGGCTATCTAAATTTTCTAATATTTAAAAAGTATTCTATTTTAGTCAGGGGAGATTTGTGGCACATGATGGCATTAGGTGCTTTAAACTGTAGTCCGAAGGGACAACCAATTTATAGCCATTCAAGTAAGAACTTAGTAAACATTTTTTAAAATAAAGTCATCAGTAATCAATCACTTTCATTTGGTGACTATAATTTCTCTTAAACACTAATTACTTACTTCAACATAAGTAGAAAATAGCCAGATAATACTGGGACACAAACAAAGAAGAGTTGATATACATTACTGCCTATCCAGTAATAGGCAGTCAATTAGTATGTGTGGAATGAATGAATAAGAATAAAAATTTCATATTATTTCATGGGGCAAAGGTAGGGATAGCAAAGATTACAGGCCTCTATACTCTATATTATAGGTTTACAATATAGTAGAGGAGAAAAGTAAAGGTTCAAATATCTTCAATACTTAGCAGTTTAATTGCCACTAGAGTAGTATAGTTGAGAAGTTTATGTTAAAATGTATTATTTATTCTTATGATTAAAAAGCACATGTACAGAGAATAACACAAAGTAAGATAAGTATGGCTTCTACTATTTAGGATCATTTTGGGGAAAATTTTTCTTTCATACTTATTACCAAATTGCTGAAAGGAAATAAGACATGTATATGAAGACATGTGATGACTGCTCTTTTGAGACCAAAAGAGGGAGGTATATGGCCATGACAGACAAGTGAGGGGTAGGAATAGAAAGGAAGAGCTAAAAACAACTTTGCTTCTGCTCAGCTCCCATTGATCAAGTTTGAACTAATTAGCAAGGATGCTGTCCTTCCTCAAAGTATAAGCTCCTCACTAAAAATGATTAATTTGAAAAGTGGAAAGGGAGGAGCAGAGACTTTCAACTAAATCCATTCATTCTTGCAAAAGAACCACAAGCTTTACTACTTTAAGCAACTGTATATGCAAATCTTTCAGATATACTATAACAATTTTAAGTATTTGTGCTGGGTTACTTTTTTGGTCAAGAATCAAAGATTAAAACAATCCTGTGCCCATCATAACTCTAGGTCCATTTTTGCCTTAAATACAGTATGTTCAATCCATTCTATTTAAAATCCACTTCCACTCTAATGTCAAATAAATTTTACAGATTCTTTAAAAAATACAAAAACTGAGGTGAGAATTTCCCTAGAAAATTATATTTCTTAAAATCCCTGAGGAAATGGAGATAATTTTATTTTAAACAAGTCATGTTAACAGTAAGTATTCATTTAAAAAACAGAAAAGAAAAAAAAAAAGTTGAATTTTTCCAAACTGGCAACATCTAACACACAAGAAGTACATGTGATGCTAAAAAGATTTTTATAAATCATTATGAACTAAAATGTTACCTACTGTTCTTTCTTATCTTTTGAAAATCTTGAATAATGTTTAATATCATGTCTCATATCATGTAGAAATTCCACTTAGAAGCACATGAGAGAGACAGATCAATTATAAAGATTCAAAAGCTCCTAAGTAACTTTCACAACCCGAAAACTTATTAAAGGAAATTGAGATTCCCATGCCAGAAATATATTCTTACATAAACATAAGAGAACTCTTACCATAAGTTGGGGTGCTTTCTCGTCTTCCTTGACTACTTGATCTTCCTTTTTCATATTCATAGCAATATAAGACAGTATCTTCTTCGACAATATTAAATCTCTTTCGATATTCCTGATCCAGAAATGAATTTGGTGATTCAGATCCCTTATGCACTGGCTTGCCCACCATATGTCCTCTGAGGTCTTCACAAGGAAGGTTTCCTTTTTCATCCCTAAAGAAAGGTTAGAGTCAAGGAGAAGGATGTAGAAACATGTTAGGGTAGTAAATGGCCGAGGGTCTAAAATACTAATAATTTATTCCCACACAATATATCTCCTGACCTTTCCAAACTTTCTTTGAGATTTATAGGGCAATTTGTAATTATTCTTATTTTGCTGAAAACAAAATGGTGAGTCTCAGAAAGGCTAAACAACTTGCCTCAATGTTACACAGCTAACAACTGACAGAATTTGAAATAGGCCATGAAACATTTTACTTAAGTATATAGCTTAAGTATATAGCTTTCTTCTGCCAGTTTACCTTTGCATATAAATTGCTTTTAGCTTTTAAGACAGTAGGTATAATGGTAATAATGTTAACTTAAGTATAATGCTTTCTTCTGCCAGTTTACCTTAGCACATAAATTGTTTTTAGTGTTCAAGACAGTAGGTATAATGGTAGTAATGTTAACTAAAGTATAATGTTTTCTTCTGCCAGTTTACCTAATTGATTCTTGGTAAAAATTTGCACTGCTTAAAAATAAAGATGTGTTTAAGAACTATCATAAGGAGCACTGTAGCCTTAGGAACCAAATTAGCATGATATAAACTTGTATTATAAGAAATTCACACAACATGTAATTAATTTTAAATAAACCTTAATAAAAAGAATTATTCTCAGTATTCAAACTCTACGGATCTCATTTAAGAGTAAAAAGACATATTCCTAGAACTCATTCTAAATGAATATATCAAAATTTCATTATACATCAATGTTTCTTGAGGAGAGAAAAAATAATTTGATAAAATACGGAGTTTAAGAATGGAATTTAGGGTGATGGCAAGTTGATTTTTTTCTTCTATAGGATTCTAGAGAAAAACATCTCTAATAATTTATGATCTCCCTAAAACCTATTACTCACACACTGTAATAGGTAAATTAAGCCCCAAAACTATTTTGATAGAAATAGTTCATTTGCTATTTGTTAAATTGAATCTTGTTTATTTTATGAAATGTTTCACTGATTACCTATGAACTTTTTGTCAGCAAAGCTTGTCTTCTAGAACATGACTATGAATGTAAATGCAATGTTTTTCCCCTTCTGGACCATTAGTTAAATTTCTTCCCTTTTCTTAATTGTTTCTGGTTACCCTAAACAGTGCCATGAATAAATGCTGTCAAACAAGAAAAATAATTTAATTTTATGTTAAGTGATAAGACTAAAATCTTAAATTCATAGAATAAACTAAATTATAACAAGACAGATAAAAAGGACAATTTTTAAATTAATTCCTATTATACCTTTTAAAAGGGTGATGAGCTTATAAAAGTAATGTGAATTCTAAAATATGAGCCCCAGTCTGGCAAAAGCCTGTTATTTCTGCTTCTGTGTGTAAATGTTTAGATTAGGTTTGTCCAAATGTAGAAAACTATATTCCCAGTATTTGAAATATGTAGAAAGTAGCAAAAAACATTCTCCAGACTGACAATCAGTGAGTTTTCTTATCTGTTTAACCCATCACAAGGTGTTGTTGCCATTTACATTACCATTTACTCTTTTATTTTCTAAAATAAAAGTATTGCTTATTACCAAAATAGAACTATATAAATAGTTCTTAGGCAACATGAAGGAAATAAATATAAAATCCAGGCAGAATTTTATTTCGGCTTGCTGAAAACTTTTCCTGAACAAATTGCCTGGTTAGTCCACTATCAAAAAGAAATTGACGCTGCAACTAGCTTGGAAGCAGCCCTAACGAATTTGTGGCACTGGAGTAAGGTTATGCCTATCTGTAAATGAAAAGACCTCACGCTATGAAGCTTGTGACATGAATGTTAATGCAGCTGAAATCAGAGGGTGATTTAGCCCTAATAATACACCATGCTATATTTATATGGAAACATCTTGTGGCAGGAAATTGAAAGGGATGGTATTTCCTACTGTATAATAACATAAGGGAGGGACCTTATATCAACAGGGTAGATTTTTAAAACAAATCTATATAGAATGCAGTAAAATACTGTTGAATTGAGAAAAGTACCAAGCAAAACCAAACTTTTCAGTAGAATGAGTAGATACATGTATTGTGTATGTAAATGTGTGTATGTGTATGTGTGTGTGTGTTAATGTACATATTCATGTCATGAGTCCCTGGAGAATTCAATGTGTTAATTCATTCTGATGTAAAGAGTTTTTACACCTTTCTTAATGTTGTACGTTTATGCACATAAGTAATAAATCTGTGCCTTTGCTCTAGAAAGGATTTAAGGAAGAATTAAAAGAGCATTGATTTGCTGAACTAACTTTATATTTAATGGCACACAGTAGAGTTAATAAGAGAAATTAGTGCTTAAATGTCATAGTTGCTCAAAGACCTATAAATTCTTCATTTTCATCATAGAAAAAGAAATTTGGTTAAGTATAGAAATGTACTATATATAATGATAATGAAACTGTGTATAGTCATAAGACATATAATAAAATGCCAGCCAAATTTCACTCATTTCACAAACGAGTGTTTTATCTTTTAGAGAGAAAGGCACTTTTGCAATAACTTTTTTCCTGGAATAAATGTGTTCAAAAAATTGTAACCACATGAAAAATATTCTGTCTAACTTGAAAACTAGTCCTATCATTTTTCAAGTCTGTTTTCTTTTTGAGATGAGAGAGGTTTTATTATTTGCAATCCAAATCAAACATATATGTTCACATACCACCAAAATGCCTATCCTTTATAAACAAAGTTTTTTAATATGGGGGAAAATGTTCAGAAGAATTAAACTAGGTTCGCAACATTCATCTTCAAAATGAGAAAATGGGGAAAAAATTGCCAAGGCTGTATCTATAAAAATAATCACAAATGCAAAAAGTTTTGACTGTCAACTTAACATCAAGCCAGAAAATGCAGACACTTATATAAGGCTGTGGTTCAAAGGGGCTTTGATGCATGGATTGTTCTGACTCCTATATTGAAAGATTTTATGACTGGTTAAGTAACAATTTGACTCAAAATGTATTTAGAATATTCTGTTAAATTATACACTGACCAACTAAGAATCACTTATGGCAATACAGTAAACACTATGAATTTTACGGAAAAGTATGGAGCTTTCAAGCAATACTGACAAAACAAGGGTCACTATGTTGATATTTCAATTTCACATTCTCTAATATTTTAAAAGAGCATTTTCAAGCTTTTTATTGGCTTCAATATAGAGCCTTTATAATATGTCCATCACACTCAGAAGACAGAACTGGATCATTTTACTCTTTTGTCCTCTTAAATGTATTTTAAATATTTTCTGTAGAGGAGACACTTTCTTTGTAACAAGCTCCTCACCACTGAAGAGGAAAGAACATTTTAAAACTACAGAGATTTGATAAAAATAATCATTTGATGTTTATCCGTATATGTAGACCTCTGAAGAATAAGGCCTTTTAAATAATTATTTGCACTGAAATAAAAATCTTTCCAATTAAAATGTAAACAAATCATAAAAAGTCACTTCCTGTTTGGAACACATACTTTCACTGCTCCTCATGCAAGAGTATGTGGAAAATCTGACACTGTCTTAATAGAATTAAAATGCAACTTGCATTTTACTAGGATACTGGATGGATTTGTATATTTGCTTGTAAATTGAACAAAAGATTGTAAATTATATATTAGATTTATGAAATGTCAGCTTAGCAAACTATATCTTATAAGTCATGTTCCAATGGCTATATTTAATTCTCAAAGAACTAAAATATACATAAAACTGACTATAGTTATATTACTAGATGACAACATGGTATTTGCAGATAAACCATATTGCCATGCAGCATTTAGATCATATAATGTCAGTAAACCATCATGTCTAATAGAATATAGATTTCTGAAACACTAAGTGTACTAAAGAATAATGGAAATTAAACACAGGGAATTCAGTTCTTTTATATATGAAAGAAATTTAATACTAATTATGGCTTGAAAACAAGAGACCTTAAATTATTGTTTTTGAATGCAGAACTAACTTAAAAATTGAATCAAGTTTTTTGTGATTGGTATTAATGATCCCCATTTAGTGCTAGTCCTTTTCCACAATTTTTGTATTTCACAAGGCTGGATATTAGAATGCTTTTAGGAAGAATGCATTATGACATAAAGCTGTATTCTTCTACATCTGCAAGGAATTTCAGATAAGAATCAATAAATGAAATAGAGATACAGCCTCAAGAAATCTAGAAAATAGACTTTAAGAGTAATTCATTCCCTTGTAAACTCTACTTCCTGAAAGAAACATTAATGAATTAATGAAATAAAAATTTCAGATACAGGATTATTAGGGGAAAAAAGACAATCTCCCTCATAATCATTATCAAATAATATCTTCCTCATTACTTACATTTAAGAAAGCATAAAAGTCATCTATAGCATGTTTTTTTTTTTTTTTAAATGTATGAAATGCTTCAAAGTAACCAGAAAATTTCTGGGGCTTTTTAGCCAAAGAACCTCACTTATTCTTTACTTATTAAAAAAATCCTAATTGTTATTTAATATTACTTTCTTCTTCTTTCCTATTATGAGATAGTATAAAATACTTAATGCACAGCAAGTATTTATATACAAATTAGTCATTATTACTATTAACCAACATGCATTCTCTATAATGGGAATGATTTTGCAAAATGTGTTCAGAATTCCTAACTGTGAGAAAATATTCAAGGTGTTCCTTGAGAATTGACTTTGCAGTTTATATGCTGTTAAGTTTACCTTTAGCTAGAAGCTGCCTAGGACAACGTGATAGTTTTATACCTGGGAATATATGGTTCTGCAGGAGGAGGGGGAATGTAGAGATCCTGGAGGGCAGAACTGTCTCTTTTGGTGGGTGTACTGATGGTGCTGGAAGGCGTGGCAACGCTGCTTGTGGGACTTCTAGGTATAAGAGGCTAGTTAAAATGAAAAAGAAAATACATACGCACACAAACAACACACAAAACAACAACAACAACAATGACACATAGTTATCATTTTAAAATTATCTATTTCTGCAAAGTTTTTGAACTTGGCTGAAATCAAGAAACATGTTATTTAGTACATGGATATTCCTTTCAATCTCCAAAAACAAATAGTATGGTAAAGGTTTCCACTTCACTCCCAACTCACCTTAATCTATGGTATAACCACTGAAATACTATTTCTAAAGCAAAAATACCATGCAGTGTTTCAAAATGGGAAGACTTATCTCACAGTTAGAAACTTATTTAAATTAAATTAACTTTGTCAGAATTCCACCTTTAAAAGAACAATAATGATGAGTAACTCTGAAAAGAATTAGCTCACTCACATCCTGATTGATGTATGAGAAAGCTATTTCAGATCTTCTCCCAAAAAAGATAAACCATATTTCTAGGTTAGTAAAATGTTACAGATGCTCAGAAAAGGTTACAAAAGTGGGAGTATGAAAGGCCAATACGAGAGTATTTGCTAGAAAAATGTACTTTTTTTCTGTCAAAATAAGCATAGCTGTCTTCTCAAAGCCAGTTTATGGTATATCATCAAAAGTATGGTAATTATGTAACACAATCATTTCACCATTCATAGGCATACACATTTATCTATCATTTAAAATAATCTTTAGTTGCATATATAGATCTCATTTTCAGGCCTGTATTTAAGTATTAAATAGGAGGTTATTTTCTTAAAGTTAAGAAGTTAAGATAATATACATACGGAATTAAGCAGTACATGAGGATGCATTAACTTAAGAGCACTCCCAATTCCAAGCTTCACAGCATTTGAAAATAATCTAGTGGTTTGTGAAATTATCCTGAAGTGAAACTAAAATTCACAAGTTTTATGTTTATCTTACAGATCTTAATGATTAGCTATGTATACAATTAACATATTAAAAATAAAATTTTAATGTAATCACAAACACAAAAATAATGATCACAAATGAACTGTATCTTCACATGACAAGATGTTGCCATTTTAGCCAGTATGAAAACTCTCTTAGCATATTTATATAGACTCACAGTTCTATTGTTTTAATATGCATTGCTAGACACTCAAAAAGTGGCATATTACAACTATTTTATATTGTGACAATACTTTTGTACAGATAAACAAAATTTGTTTAAAAAGCCAAGCATAAATACAATGGAAAGTACAATGTAAGTCACTGGGGTAGGCTACACAATTTAGGACTCAGTTCATGGTTTTGACCTTCCCTGTTACACAGCTCACCTTAATAGCTTGAAATCACACATCCTACCAAAATGACAGTTAAATTTTAATGTAGTGAAGTAGAAATTAAAGAAAGAGAGAGAGAAAGGGAAAAGGAATGATAATGTAATTTGGGAGTTTACAATATTCCACCTTATATGATATTTTAAAAAAGGTCAGAAGTTTTACACGTTAATTGAAGAATTGTAAGATATTATAAAATTACACAGTAAAGATTATGTTTTACTATGCTAATTTTGGCGTAGGGTCCAGTTCAACTATTCCTGTCTTTTAGAAACAAAACTTGAGGCAATGGAAAATCCTGAGATTATATAGGTAATCATAGGAGTCACCTGTACTGATGAATACCATAAATCCCAAGGAAATAAATAATTATTTTATTTCTAAGGATGCATTTCATGCCTCTACAACAAATCCTTGAATGGCAGATTCAACAATACATACATACAATCACTGTGATGTGACTCTGTTTATAACTGTTTTCCTCTCTGTCAGGACATCTTGGTTTTAAATACAGATGATGCTAAACAATAAATCTGACCAAAATTTTACCATAATAGAAATGTAGCAAAGAAAACATTCATTTAACAGAATATTATTTTCCAATTCTTTTAAACAGATACACCGTGAGAGAAAAACTAATATTCAGTATACTTTTAAAATGCTCTAATAGCTTTCTTACTTTTAAATATCCTAACACTGTAAATGAACTTAAAATCAAGTTCTAAAAACATAAACATGTAAACATAATCAAACTTAAATTTTTATTGTCTTCCCTCTCTCGTGGAGTCACTATTCTATTTTGAGGACTTTTCTTCTTTACTTTTACCATCTACAGAACTAAAGATAATTTTTCCTGGTTAGTACCTACCCTTCTTCTCCCCAAACAAAAAGGAAGGAAGGAAATAGTAGCAGTTAATGGTTACAAGCACATTTTAAAATAGATACACCTGAAGTGTGAGGTAATGACCAGGGGAATATTTTATTCTGCCTGAATTATTACCAGCATTGTCTACCTAGGGTACCTATGTCTTTTCCCTTCCAAGAAATGTAATTATTAGCCCTCAATTTCCTTCAAACTGCTATTTCTCTAGGTTTCTATTTTTAGCAAACAGTCCCTATCAATGTCATCAGTTAATGTTATTAGCCAAATTAGCACATACATAGAGGGAAAAGATTCTTAAATATGCTTAAATACATAACAGGTTTGATTATGCCATGCTGGTTCAACTAATTGAACTGGTTGAAAAAAATATTACTTCAGAGAAAAAAGAAATTAGTCAATCCTGTTGCTTAACTCACCTGGCTTGTTATTTTATTGACTGGTAAGTCACAGAAAATATTTCAACTGGTTTATCATGGAAATACTATCTGGCTCATCAGTATGCCTTGTGCCAAGTAAAGTTCATTGTAAATATTCAATATATTCAGTATATTTCTCTCTACTAATTGTGCTCTTTTTAACAAGCTAATCCAAGCTAAATAATAAACATTCGTTTTGAGATTCATATTTAAAACACTAGACATTAAGCGATGGAAAAATAAAGTTTAGTAAAGTACAACCTTCATGGGAAAATAAAAATAACTACTTAACCCAAAGGGGTCTTTGTGATAATTTAAAATTATAATCTCTTTAAAAATTTTCTAACTTTGGACAAAAATTGAAAGAGCAAAAACTCAAATGACCAAATGAATGAAAAAGGCATTAAAGAACATTAGAAAGACAAGTAAAATTTGACCAAATCAAGTACAGAATAAATGATGTAATTAGCTAAAATTATCAGTGAGAAATTCCTAGTTGTAACAAGAGGCATTAAAAATACACCTACCACCAATAGCCACTTAAGTTTGTGAAAATGCACAGAAAGTAACAAATTTAGCTTCCCTCAACTCAAAACACAGAATTCTTTCAGCACAGGCATACTCCTTAGATTGAAAAAAAAATCTAATGAGGAGGATGTAATACAAAAAGATAGCTTCTCCTATCCTGGCAACATTTACTTATAATCATTTGTTTAGAATACAGTATATGAAAAGTAGTTACTGTTGCACTACAAATAAATTTCAATTTAAGAAAAAAAGTAGAATTAAAGAGTAACATTCTTTTATCATTTTGACTTTCTCCTGTATTGACAAAATTTGAATGGGAAGAAAATTAGAACTATCAACACTATGGATAAAATGGATACAATACAAGGGGATTGTTTTAGGATTACATCTTGTTATTTAAAGTAAACATGAAGCTTCAGCATAACTTGATCTTCTGTGGTATGTAATCAAGTATGATATAGATCCATTTTTGATTCCATCCAAAGGGGTTTATTTTCTGGAAGGACTTTGTCATACCATTTAGTTTTCATTTCAATGGTCCTTTTGAGATGAAGCTCTCCTTCCACATATTCAATGAGACTCCAACAGGGAAGACACATTTGCATGTATGTTGTGACTCTTGTAAAACAAGTCTATGATAGATTTCTGGGGGCACTGGCATGCATCTCTTAAAATGTCCAAATCCTAAATAAAATGATCATATGTATCTCTTCAAACATATATTTATAACCTTAGGTCAACTAAGGATAATGTACTACTGTCAATTTGCTACTGTTAGAAATCTTCTAGGTAAAACTTATATTTTTCATACTGTCAGTTTGAATGTATAAATACTTCAAAATTGTGTCCTAAAATAGGGTATGACACAAACTTTCCTCTGAATTATTAGTGATAACTTCAGCAATAATATCCTACTCATCCAGCTTAAACATCATTGGAAGATTGTGATTGCTGTAAAATAAAATTTTGTAAGCTAAAGCTTTAAATCCTCTGATGGTTCAGGTCTCACTTTAAAGCCTCTGATTGCTGAGGTCTTTTCTTTGTGTGCCCCAATTTTAACATCTCTAAGGTAACTGAGCACATATGGAAGGTATTCGTGTACCTGTGAAATCTCTATAGTCTTAAAGACCATGAGAAAAGAACTTCTATACTTAAGAAATTACATTTGACGTTGAGGTTTTCCTCAAAACATTTTACATTTTAACATCTCTGGGCAAGCATATCTTAATTTAGTTGTCCCTCTTTCTATCAAGTGACCCAGCTTTGATAGAGCTTGAATGAAACCAATGGCATAAAAACAACTCCAACGTTAAAAGATTAAAACAGTGCATTACACATTTATGTAGTTAGCTCTAAAATTCACTAATGCCAAGATCACACAGAACTTGCTTTGCCTTCCAGTGGGGAAATACCCACTGAAATACAAATAATTACATCAAGTATAAAACCTGGCCATTTATTTTATTCGCTCTTGGGAATAAACACAGACTCAAATGGATCACAATACCCCATCATTCTAGCACAGAACATTCACATAAGTCCTTACTCAGTTCAAACACATTTTTAATTCCCAACACTAGTACAAGAACATTATTTTATATTGACTCTCTAATAATCTAAGCAAACGCTTCAGAGAAAATGTATCCTGAATTTTAAGCGGCAAGAATTCATATATAATTTTGTAGTTTCTTGACCATGTAAAGAAGGTTAAATCTAATTTGGAAAATTATTGAGAATACTTTTTTCTGGCCAAGCTTTTCATAAGTAGTCAATTATTTGAAAAGAACTGAAGCAAGGGAAATACATATATTCAAAATTCTCCCACTCTCAGTTCTTTCACAGCTTTTTCTAGAATGCAAATTTATAAATA